GGCTTCAAAACAAGTTTGTTTGTATTTTTATGTTTTTGATTCATACTCTCCAGTTATTGGATCTGACTTTCTTAAACTTGCTTTTAAATCTTGGGGGAGAGAGCGCAAAGGAAACATAACTCAACTGTGCCTCATAAAATATAAACTGGTGTGAAAGAGCCCTTTAAATATACTGAGCTTCTAAGACGGAGGAACTTTTTGATAAAAAGGCCATTTTAGTTCACCAGTCTTGTCAAAGGGCCAACAGCCTCAACTGTGAAGCGGTTTCGACTGGATTTGAGTGATGCCAGAGCAGAAGATACTCTCCCTTAGCTACATTGGCACCATTAGCTAAATGTAAAAAAGATAATTTTGTCTTATGTTTTAGGTCTAGGATGTTATTTTAATACCCGAAACATATCAAGTAAATAAGAAGTACTATTATCTGAATGTTGAGACACTATCAAAAACCACTGTCAGTATACACACAAATAAAGTCAACGGATGTTCTGAGCTTTACATTGAGGTATACCATGCCTGTGTTAACTGAGCTGAAGTTGGCTGGATTACCCTGTGAACTTGTGTCAAATACGCCTGTGTGTTAGCATAGCAGAAGGGCCACATACAATGACACAAAGGGCCGCAATTGGCCCGCGGGCCTTAGTTTTGACATGGTCCTGAGATCCAATAATGGTTGATTGATTGATGATCAGATCTATGTTGGTATATTATTCTCACAGCATTCACAGAACCTTTTCATATTCCGTTCCGTTGGGATGATCGTCTAGTGGTTTTGTAACTACACCTACATATTTTCTGATGAGACAATTCTTGGCCTGCAGTCACGTGACGCATAAACTTCCGGTTGACTAAGTGGTGGTCAGGCCCATAGACATATTCGCCGCATCTACCGCTACTGTCTATTGGCGCCTACGAGCCGTAGCGCCGCCATCTTGGACCGGTTGTCCACTCCTCTCAGTGTAATTGTTTAGCAGGCGCTGTGACGAGTCAGCACATTTAATCAATCAAAACTCACTGAATACTTTACCGTTTGAAAAAACATGGATGCGGCAACTTTTCCGTCAGTGTGGGGGTTCAGGAACTCGGAGTTAAGGTCCTGAAGGACAAATCCAGCATCGTAAAGAGCCGTGCAAGTAACGATTGGTGAATGAACTTGTCATCCTCAACAAAACAATGCGTCTGTGTGCTGTGTTCTTTTCAGGTCAAACATTCACAGTGTTTATTTAAAACACCAACTCATACATGACAATTAATTAGATAAAGATGGGGATGTAATAACTGCGCATTGTGACTGCATGGGGAAATAAATAATCCTTCGAGGTAAAAGCGTTTGCTAGTGAAATGTTAGCGAGCCATTTTTTCTGCGTCTTTTCGTAAAGTCCTTAGTGCGAGGCTCTTTATTAATCTCTTTACAAGGAATCCTAAGTATCCAAATAAAGGTTTTGCGATTCGATCGGTAAGAAAACTTAAAATAACACACGCAAAAGGCATATTCAGACACCTGCTCTAGTGAACAACTAGCTCGGCTGACCACCACTTCGTGATACGCATATGTAATGAGGCGGACGTGACGTCAATTGCAAGCAAACGGTCAGGACTGTAATATCCTTGTTTTTGTCTTTGTTATTTTATGTATCAAAGCTGTTGTAATGTTGTCTTTTTTGTAAATAAAAAAATAAATAAAAAAAATAAAAAAGACTGCACTGATTAGAAACTACTCCATCACCGCCGCGGCTCACGTGACCTGTGTGGGCGTGTCGTGAGGACCAGTCAAGGGACCAGTGGACTTCAAAACTGGATCGCGTCCATCCAAAACTGCAAAGAAGTAAGAAGTGATCGGAACTCGGACTTTTCACCCAGGTACGCTATGTTTATGTCCAAACATTGTAATCTTCTTTTTACTTAAATCAACGGGACAGAAATGAGTCGACCTACACTACTACACATACTTTTATCAAATGTACGTGCATGATGTACAGCCAGCCGTAAATCTAATCCTCTGTCTTTAATCTTTGCAATTGCTATATTTATATATTCTCGACTATTCACGACTAAAATTATTGAGCAATTGATCACTTATCAGCCAAAAAAAAAATAAACCCTATTGTTTGACTTCTATAGATGTATTGACCTGTATGGGATTCACTAGGTAATCTTGCACATCTAACTCCTCATAACCAAATGATTAGTTTCATGCCTTACATCAGAAAATGTGCATGAAAGTATTAATCATGTAACTACATTATACATTAGGGGCCACCTCTGCATGTCTGAGATTTCACTGCAGAGAGATTAATAATGAGCTAGTTGGTCTGACTCTGGCAGCACTTTGAAGATTTGCCAATTATATGTCCCACAAGACAAGAGCATTTGGGTCTATTCATAAATGGGCTCGATGATAAACTGTGGGAAAACGAGATATATGATTTTCTAATGGGATTGTTAATTCAGTAAGTATCCAGTTCAGACTGTTCTGACTGCACTCCTTCATTTGTGTGATGTTTGTATTGTCAATATGTGGCGTTTATGTGACAACACAACACCCAAAGAGACCATTGTCTCAAGTATACATGATTTGGGCAGTATAAAGGACTTTAGACATAATGTTATGGCAAGTTTGTGAATCTTATTGCAAAAAAAACAATTTTCCCATAGCGTAGAGGCACCTGCCCTCCAACTGAAATGGAATGCAACCTATTGTGTTGTTTGATGCTGTTCTATAATGTTTGTTTTTGCAGGTCACTCTTAAATCTTCCAATTACGGAAAAACTAAAACTAATGCTGATTCACTACTCCTTAAACAAATATAATTAACACAGTTAATTCATATATTAACATTAGGGAGGTCATAAAATAATTTGTAATGTATAGTGACAATATATCACACATAGAAGTGTGATCATCTGCACATGCGTGGTCACACTGGTTCTATTACAGTAGATCTCTGTGCGTTGGTGCTCTTCTCCATAATGATGCTGCAGCAGATTGTCAGTTGAGGATCACTGAATGTGAGGTGAGTCTGTGGCGCTGGGAACACAGAGACTGTCTAAGTGACACAGATGTGAAGAGTTGTAGTCCTCTCTCTGTTTCAGTTTCTGTATCACTGCAGCATTATTTCAAACCATTATTTCTACACACTCAACATTTACTGCAGAACCATTATTGCCCTAATTTATTCAATTAGTAATGTTTGTGAGCCGTTAGTTATAACAGCCAAAGCAGATTAGAAAAGTAGCTTTGCTCCAGGCCCAGGGTTAAAGGGACAGAATTTACAACAGTTTATTGTATTTTTTGTAACATCTGTTTTTGAATTTGAACAAGGCCAATGCACACGTCAAGTCAGTAAACAGCACCTCATTTAGGAACAGTTTACATACTGTATACTGCCCTTATGGTGTATTTTTGTTCCCCTACATCCAACACTATCCTTTTAAAAGCAGTGTATCTTTAATAGATTGTGTATACATATTATAGTTGTGTTAGTGTTGCTTATTTAAAATGCAAGGTTTGCACAAACATGATAAATTAGACCCCATACTGACAACGCTATTCTAAAAGAAGTCTTTTCTTCGATTACATTTTGAGTTAATCAAATAAGGTGAGACAAGTTTATGTGAAATAAACAATTACACCTGTTTTGACCTAGAACATTGTCAAAGAATCCTGTCTCACATCTCCCTGTTGAACAAGAGAATCTCTAGCGTATTGTCTTGTTGGTGATTAGGAACAATTTCAGGAACTGTTATGATCGTCTTTGTACATTATGTTATTTGCTTTGCATTCATTATATCCCTGTTTCTCTCCTCACTGGCTGAAGGCACAGTCCGCTCCCAACAATCCACACCAGCACAACTTGTCCCCATGGAGACAAAGCCCACGGCCTTTCACTCACTCCACGAGTGGGTAACTGAGTCCCTCGTATCGACTGGAGCAACAATTTACAACACAGCCGCACAGTCTGAAGAAGAGGATATCGTCATGCAGGCGTACAAGTCCAACATAACCAACAGGATTCAATGTGTAAGCACAGAGTCTGAATATAACAGCACTTGGTGTGAAGAGGAGTTCCCTGCCCCCCCTTGAGATTTTAGTGATCCCCCAATAGAAGACAGCAGTCCAGGCTTTATTATCCAGGCCACTTCAGTGGAGAGAATGGACAGTGAGATGTCTAATCCTATGAACCATTTTGGTATTAGCCAAAAAAGGGACAATGATGAATGTCATGGTGCAATAGAAGGCACATACAGTACTTCCCCGATGGGGAATGTAGTGAAAGTATGCACGTAAAGCCTTTGCCCTACTTTGCTGATAACAGTGATGATGATGAGGAGGCTCACCTCGGCCGCTTATTCAGACTAAATAAGTGTGACTCCTCCACCACAGGTGTAACTATACCTGTAGGCCATGATCTCAAACAGCAGGAGGAGCTATGTTCACTCTATGTAACAAACCCTCTGAGTACCATCCGGTCAGGGCAAGGATCCTTTGGTGTAGAATATAATGTTGATGTTGGTGAAAGTGCGAACACCACAAATGATTATCATGGGCATATTGTGCATTCTTCACAAAGTGCTGTGTATGAGGAAGATTATCTCGGGATATTTCATTCAAATTGCAAAGCTAGTGCCTTAAAAGCTGGTCAGTCTTCAGTTGCACATGATATAGCCCAACAACAGGAGGCACCATTTCTCCTGTGTGAACTACCTTCCCTGGATGTAAACCAGGAAGTCACACAACAGGTGCTCAGCCAGGCTTTTTCACCTTTGTCACCAGTTTCCATAGAGCCAACCAATCAGAGCACTCCAAGTGAAGGTAGTGCTGCAGTCATAGGAGAGAGCAGGGTGCGGCATGTGATAGAAGACAGAGAAAGTTGGCTGATCGGTGCAAAGAATAGGCAATTTCCTGTGAGTGAGAGAGAATCCCAAATCAGTGGAGTTTTGAAGTCAAATCCAGAGCTGAAAAGTGAGAACAGCAGAAACATTTCCTTTCAGCACGACGCAATGGAGAGTGACTCGTGCGATGAGAGTGACAGTGGAGTTTCAGCAGACTTCTCTCCTGGGAGCACTTTGGAGAGTGGTGGCAGTTCAACTCGCGTGCACAAAGAGACCCCCATCGAAAGGGAGATCCGCAGGGCTGTAGAGCGAGAGCACAGCCTGAGAAGATCCAGGGGGCTGCCCAACCAACCCACTGCTCCTGAGTATGTAGAGATCCCTTTGAGGAAAGCTGTCTTCTTCAGCCCGACACTTCTTCCCACCAAGACAGAAAGATGCCAAGACAAGGACAAGCTATTTGCAGGCAAAAAGATGCAGCAAGATATTCATGAAGAGGCTAAAAGGGAGCAAGATTTGGTAAAACTTGGAAAAATCCCTGGGTTTTATGACAAAGGAACTATTCGACAGCTCAAGGAGAGAAAACAGCTTTTTGAGGCATTTCAAATGCAAAACGATGTTCAAAGTAAAGCCATATCAACTTCTAATGACATTTCTATTGTGGAGAATGACTCATTGTGTAATAAACAAACGAAGATTGGATCTGACTTGGATATTACAACTCCAAAAGAAACAAAGAGCTGTCAGATCGTCATAATAGAAAACAATGTAGATGTGTCATCCAAACGACCAAGCACAAACAAAAAGCCAATTACAGACGTTGATTTGGGTAAAGAGAAAACCAGAAGAGTCCAAGACGTGACAGATCGGGAAATTCCACCGAAAGAGAACCCTTTTTTCAAGTTGCGTTCCTGTAAGTCTGTTGTGAAAGTGGAGCAGGACATCCGGGAGGCCCAGGAAAGGGAGAGGGAACTTCGCAAGCAACGAATGGACCTTTACGAGACCCAAGTAAAGGGAGAAGGGGGCAAAGCAGCTGCAATTGAGGAACACAGTAGCACATTGTCGCCACTGAAAGCTTTGCCTGTTCAAGACTTATCTGACCCAAGCCAAAACGGGATTACAACCAGCACAGGTAAGCCCTCCCCATGAAAGCTTAATTCTATTTGCTTGACCTGTTTGTGCGTCTGTGTGGGACTGTGTGATATCTACTTTTAACAAGATGACGAAAAGCCTCTGAAACACTCCACTGAGTCCATTATTTCATTTTTCTTTCGGCCTGTAGAGAGCCCCAAAACAGCTTTTATAGAGAGGCTGCCCACTTGTGCAGAATTACATTTCCACCAGAGACGGTGTAATAGAACACGACTTTGTAACTGCCAGAGTAAACAGAGCATCAGTCTGTCATGTCAGGAGTGAGGGAAATAAGAGCAAGTCTTGAGTCATATCTCAGGCATCTTTGTGTGTTAGCAGCAGAGGTGCTTTTACATTAAACAAAGCTGGGGTAACCTTTTTAATAAACCTATACATTTTGTTTGACCCAACAAAAAGAGTAAGCAACATTATTGTGAACAAATCAGACCACAACATGCTGTCTTCATCTTATTAGTAATCATGTTATGGTTTGGATACTTGTAAGCAAGATTTTTCTTCAATTCTGTGAAAACTAGTGATAGTATTAAACTGTTTTGAGAGCGAGGAACTGGTTGCATGGATTTTAGTTTTGTAAAAGTTTGTTTAAAGTTGAAAGTAATTTTTTCAGAAACTGAATGTCCATCCATCCATTTTCTTCCCCTTAATCCATTTCTGGGTCGGGGGGTGGCAGTCAGAGCTGCACCCAGTACACATAGCACCAGCCCCTCACTGATCCTCCTGCAGGTGGTGAGTCCACAGGAGCTGAGATCTTTCAGTTGGGGCTTTGGGCAAAGTAGGGTTAAGTGTCTTGCCCAAGGACACAACGACAGCAGTCATCAGTGGGAGTTGTGAAGTAGGTCTTACGGTGGGCTCGAACCCACAATCTTCAGGCCCAAAGGCCAATGCTCTACCAACTGAGCTACTGTCGCCCTAGAAATTGAATGTGAAACAGGCAAAAGGGCGAGCCCTGACATTGTAAAAGAGATGGGCCACTAATATCAATAACAGAAATAAAAAGAAAAAAATATGTAAGCTAAATGGTGGGAAAGGTTTACGGGAATGCAGGTCGCTGTATAGACGTGGTGCCTAAAGGGTTAACTACCCCAGCTTTAATGTCTATAATATTCACATGTGTGGATCTACGTGGCCCTCGGGTTTTAAATTTAAAGTAACATTCCTCCGTTGTCGCATCAAATATGAAAATTCTAAATAAACTCTTCAAGATAATACAGTATGCAAAGACGTATTCTAACAATATGTAAGCACATGTTTTACATGTGAGAGCCATATCCCGTCATATCTCTTAAGATAAGCCGGGCAGGGCCTGGTAAATACTGTGATGGGAGACCCCTGGGTGGCTGTGGCTGGCTGTAAAGTTCCAAACTGTTGATGTGTCCTTAGGCAAGACACTTCACCCACATTGCCTAGAATGAGTCTAGTGTGTGCATGGCTGGTGGTGGTTAGAGGGGTCGCTTCTGTGAGTGTTCCCCAGGGCAACTCTGGCTACAGTTGTAGCTTATCACCACCGTGAATGGAGTGAAAGTAGGAAGTTTAGGAAATGAATATTGCGCTGACAATACAATGGGCTTGTACAAAATCTTGGCTGCTGCTCTGACTACACTTCTGTTTGCATCCAACACTGTTGCTAGGGAATGTTCTGTTTGTGTTATTCCTATTGTTATACCAATAAAAGTGTTTCTCTGTCCATTTTCAACCAAACTGACCAGGGTTGAACAGAATTTGCCATTATGCCTCAGGTATTAATGGACTTTGAACCAGATGCTTTCTTGTGTCCGAACAAACGCCCCTCCTTCTGTACACGCGTTTTTCTCTTTCATTACTATGAGCTCATGCCTGCTAACAAATGCGGTTTCATTTGCATGTATGGCAGTGCCTGCTTTGATCCTTGTCTATCTCTCTTAGCTCGTCATTCAGCGGGAAAGCTTGGCATGTGGCCTCCTGCTACAACCGAGAAGACTCAACAAATACAAGTGAGTGTGGTGTCCATCTGTGCCAATTCCAATCACAGTCAAACTTTCTTCAGATAAGGAAGGCAGATATTATGCAGAATGTATTTCAAATACTGATGTATACAAAGGCCAATTCCTGGAAAGGCACTTTTGCCCAATGAAGCGCTGGGGATAAGGATAAGAAAATATAGGCAAATGATCAACCTTGATCTCCTTAGCCACTTGCTACACTATGGTTGGAATGGGTACAAAAACAGTAGCACTAAGGAATGAGAGGTTATTGGCTGGAGAAACGGAACTGTTATTTTAACTGCTTTAGGGGATACAGCAATATTTGCATCTGTAGTCCAAAAGTATGCAAAGAGCATAAAGAACCAGAAAGAAATATTTTGTGTTAAGTAGACAATATGAAATATCATATTTCAGAATGTGTAATCATAAGTAGAAACAATTATGAAGGGTAAAAATTCTATCTGTATGTACATATATGCTACCACCAGAGGGATTTGAACTTAGTTTTTCCAAAATAGAAAATTACCAATGACATCATGTCTTACAAGTCTGAGGCAGGAGGAGACAGAAGGGGCTGAGTGATGTAGTTGATGTGATATGAGTGTTGATGAATCTAAAAACAACACAGGTCTTTTTAAAGTTATAACATGGTTAAAAGAATCACTTATTTCTTTCACCTGCTGTAGGCGTACAACTAGAGAGGAGATCTGTGAATAAAAACTAAACAACGTGATACATAAAAAGGTCGGATTGGGGCAGAAGATTCACAGTAGCGACTAGAAACCTCTGAAGGGAACAGCAGGAAATCTTCATGGATTTTTCCGCTTGCAATTGAAAGAGTTTGCAAAGGATTCAGTTAAGATTGGCCCATGGGAGCGTGTCAGCATCTCTCCGCAGCATATATGGCCCACAAACATCTGATAACATACCAGACACACTGTAAGAAGCTTATCTCCGTAGATAAGGCCAAGATGGAGGAAAGTCCTTAGAGAGGAAAAGAAAGGAGAAAAAGGGAGCAGGCGAAATGTGGATTAGGTTTTTTTTTTGCATGTGTGGGCAGATTTGAAAGCGTGAGTAAATGTGTTTGCACAGGGTATATCTTTGAAAGACTGACAGGGCTAGAGACTTGTGCTTTGTGAGTTTTAGAAAGCCTTTGATTCCATGGACAGTGGTGGTGCATTTCTCTTTTCAGATCATATTTCAGAGGTGGTGACGAATACATGATGCATAGGTTGTGATGGAGTGGACTGGGAAAATAGCAAGCACTCGAGTGAATTTGACTACCAATAATGTGAAAAACAATTTTAAAATGTTATTGACATATTTACTATTTGAAATTATCCATAAAAACACAATGAAATCCCCAAGCATCCCAAGTGAAGGCATTATCAGCTTTACAAGATGTTTCGACCAAATTGACTTTTAGCTTCAGAGCACAGTGGTTTGTTCAGAAACAGAATGCCGGTCCCTTCTGTGTGTGTCACTGGACTTGTTAGTTATCTGCGTTCCACAGCTTTGCCTCCTGATTACAGCAGACGAATTATGTAGGAGCGAATTGGCTTCAGTTGTTGACTTTAGTCACAGTGAGCCCGGCTCTTGCTCGCAGTTGCATTAATCTCCTTCTGACTTCCAGTCTTTGCTAATGATCCACATCCAAAAAGCAGTTCTCTGGAGGTGGAAAAAAAAAACCTTAATATCACCTCATGCTTTTGATTCCATTCATATTTAGCTTTTGTGTTTTGCTTGCACCATAGTAATTCCTTTTAATATGTCCACACAGGTTCAACATGGCCCAAGGACTCCTAGACAGAAGACCCCTCTTGTCCAACGCTGGGAATCAGGCTTAATCAATGCACAGGATGACTGAAAGAGACTGGGAAAGATGAAAGAGGAGAATAAAGATTTATTCCACAGCAGGGACAAGTGGAGGAGATGATAAGAGGGAAGGGATGTGGTGTGCGACTGGAAAAGGGGTCAGGTGGATTGGGAGCATAGGGGACGGATGGCGGGTGAACTGAAAACCCTGAAATGTCCTTTCGTCGAGGAGGAACTGAAGAAAGGGCAAAGTAACACTATGTTACAGGACTCGCCCTGCTTCTGTGCGGAAAACCTAATGTAGTGTTTTAGCTATGCATACAAATGTGAGGAATGAATTTAGGAAGCTAATTATTTGTAAAACATCTGATGTCAAAAAAAGCCTTGTCCCTCAGTGTTATGTCTTTTTTTGTTGTTGTTGCCTAAAGCTGTTTCTCAGATAGTCCAAATTATTTTAATTGATCCGATGAGAATGAGTATTCAAACAAAAGGCACTAAGCACATCTGCCAATTATTTTAAAAGCACTCCAGTGTTATTATACAAGTCAAAATATATATATTTTAAATTATGGTCTAATCCTCTCTAGATCAAATAACTTCCAAACTTTTTTTGAATCAGTTTCAAGCTTTTCATTAGCTTATGTTGATGAACCATTCTGCACTGCTACTTGTACTTTGTACTGTTATTTTGGTCTCATTCCAAGTATACGTTGTCATTTAAATGTGTGTGAAAAACAGAAACAAATATTTTTATGCTAAACAAAATGATAAGGATCAGAAGAGATGTTCCTAATAAATGGTCCCAGTTTCCAATAGGCCATGGATATTGTTGTATTTGCATAAGGTATTCTATGAATAGCTTCCTTTAATCCTTTTGTAATCATTGATATGGAGCACACTGCTCTTAAATGTGATATTGAGCTGTAAATGTGGGACTTTGGAGTAATCAGTCTATCTTTTCCTATTGCTAATACTATTCTCCTATACTGTAAGTTATACTTATACTGTCGCATAACTGAACCTAATTATCATTTTGGGTTTCCCCCGTTTGCATACCCTGTAATGAAATAGAAATGTGTCGCCATGGATACGCCTTGCGGGCTATTCAGGAAGGAGCAGCTTGAATTGCTAAAGCTTTTCTGCGAAAATCAACTTACAAAAGCTTACATGGGGTCAGCTGAATTATCATGCGGTTTTCAAGCATATTACAGGCTATGGTATTATGCTGAGCAGGGGTGAGACCAGCAGAGCACGCTTTACTGACCTCCCAATCATAGGTGAATAATTCATCAGCTCATTCTAAGTGGACGCAAGTCAGTGACATTGTGGACCATTACAATAGACACATATTCCTTGGTGGGCAACTCTGTGTCACTTAGGCCATCATCAAATATGGCATCCATCTCTTCCCTATCAGCAGTGTCACCACTAACCAAGCATACCATGAGCTAATCACACACACACACGTCATCATTATAACAATACAAATGTGCACACCTGCCCATCACCTGCTCAGCTCTGCACACATGGCACGTTTCAATATCTCCCAAAGTCAAGCAAACCCTCCAACGTTGTGCCATATAAAAAAAAAAAAAAAAGGTCCAACTATGGCACCAATAACTTAGAATTGTAAGGCGGGTCCAAGCTATAAAGAAATTCCATGTTTCTTTCATGTGTACAACATATGAATATTTTGTATAGAATAATGCTTGGTTGGTGGTGGATGTGTGGGCGTCTTTCACTTTGATGTTAAAGGGAATGGGAAGGGAAATGGCAGAGCTGAGTCACATCGAATCAACATGAACCCCTAACAGGAGATTTCCAGCAGCCACCATACTGCCATGGCCAGAGGGATGATTAATGGGTTTTCATTATAATTCAATGTAGAATTAAACCATATTTATGCTTATATTGTAAGCGTTTCACAGCTGATGAAATGTGATGTGCATGCAATGAAATTTATAAAATGGTTACTTCTATTTTATAAGATATCCTGGTCCAAGATTTTTGAGTCTAAATTGAAAAGCTTTTATTGAACATTTCATCTGACCTTCAGTCTTCTGTTCCACTTAAATACAAATTATTCTAATCAATACTGGCATAAATCACAATCTTTGTCATGACCCATAATTCCTCCACCTCACAAAACCATAAATGAGGAGTGCTCACACAAAGATCACTATCATTACAGTCGTTTATTCAAACCGCCTGCTCGTATCGGCACCTCTGTATCTAAACCCATAAAGCAAGCGAATGCAAGAGTAAATTATGACTCAGATCTGAATATGAGCAGCTTACTCGGTGAACACAGAATTCCTCCTGGCCTTGAGAGTACAAAGAACAAGCTGGTGTGACTGTCAGACACTGATAAAAGCTGCTGCTGGAGTGCAGACTGAAATGTAGGGACCTCTTTGCTCCCCGAACAATGGCCGGCTCTTCCTTGCAGGGAGGTACATTACTTCTTCAGTTAATGGAAAGCAGCTATTGGTGTAATGTCGGTTTTTTAATGGAATTGGCTCAAGTCGTAGATTGCCCTGCCATAGGCCGTACATGTTACAACACCTATGTTACAGCACCTGTGACACAGCACCTGTGACACAGCACCTGTGACACAGCACCTGTGACACAGCACCTGTGACACAGCACCTGTGACACCTGCTGATTTTGGGCAGAACCAACATATAGCGATTGGATTTGACCCTGTCCTTGTTATGGTCCAGAAGGTTTTCAGTAGAGAAAGAAAACGCCAATATTGTCTTTGCTTCATTCATCATGCAGCAAAAAAATGTACAAGAATCATCAGGCTAATAACTTTAAAACACAGTGAGATTCATGGTTGTTACCTCCCAACAGTCCTGAACTACTGCTAAGGACATTGTAGAATTGCGCCCTCCTCTGATGATCTACTCCAACTACACTGGGCTTAAGAACCACAAACAAATGCCTGGGATGTTTTTCATTTAGACTTTATGAAAGCCATTATGATTGATCTAAAAAAGAAGAACATGTAATAATATATGTAGAAATTCTAAATATTTAGACAATATGATTACAAAAAGAACAAATGGTGTAAATGTAAAATACAACATATTTTTGCTAATGTTGCCACTTTACTGAACAACTAAAATGTACCAATACATTCAGCACTTACAATGAGCTGAACTGTTCACCTACAAGCCTACCTACACCACATCCTGTTCTAGTACAAGGCGGCCCTAAGCATAAAAGAGAACATGTCCTTCCTGCCCTGTCCTGTGGCTGGGATTCATGCTGATTAAACGAATGATTGGTGAAATGGTCAATAGTTTGGGACAATTGGAGTTGTAAAGGTTGACAGAGGATTCCACAGCTGGGACCTTGATGCAGACTCTGTCCATTCCTGCACATAACACAACAACGTTATAATTCATAATGTTAATAACAATATCACATCAGTGGCTCAAAAGTGTTTAGCAGTGCCTGCATCTGACCTCTGCATTCATAACATTTATGACAACAAATGTAAAAAAAAAGTGCCCAAGGTATTGACGTTAAAGGACTGGTAAGAAGAATGCAAAATCTTAACAAAGAAAGTTCAAGAAATTGAGTGTCACGGCATGCAACCAAATGATCCTCTATGTGGTAAGAGAACGTGCGTCCATCTGGGTAAGTTTGTGTAAATGCATTTGCAGTTGTTTGAAATAAGATTACACAATGTTTATAGAGTGAGAGCAATTTCAATTCCATTCCAAAAGAGCACAAGGTTCAGGTTTACTTTGAAGCCTGACGAGACAGACTTTTTAACTTATTCATATTATCATTATTCATCTTATATTTACCTGAGAAGCGAGGCTCGAACGTGGAAGTGTGAGATCTGTGAAGCAAAATGGCATGAAGCTTGTGTTGTATTTGAAACCTAATTTTGTATTCACTTTTAAATGCATAGAGATAGAAAAATAGATTGTGAAATGACTCACCCACTACATGGTCTTTACCGTGAACATCAGTCCAAAACTGGGCCTCCACTCTGAAGGAAAAATGTATACAAAATAACTTAACATACTGTGAAGAAAATGTACATGTTGTAAAGACTTTCAATCGTAACTTACCTCTTCTTCTTGGACTCAGCCGCTGTCTTGACTATAATGGCACAATATGGACAAATTACCAACATTAATGGCATATAACAGAAACAGAATGTAAATAACATTCAACAGTACCTTTTCTCTGTATCAACACGGAGACCAGGGTTATTGAGCACACGAACAGCACCACAGCTGAGAGGGAGCCTAAAACCAGGGGCCAGTCTATAGCAGAGGAACCTACAAACAGCACAAGTATGAAGCTGCTCAAATGTGCACAACGTGATGATGGGAGGCTTACCTGCCGTAGGAGTGGAACTGTTTCCTATAAGAAGAAGAAGACAGTTTATTTACATGCCCCAAAGCATCATTAAGTGACTCACTTGGCTTGGCGTGGCTCTTTCTTACAGGTATACAAACGCTATAATTCATAAGGTTGATTTTTCACCAAATGTTTAAGTAAGTAATTAATATTTATTTACATAGTGCATTTTACAGACCAATGTCCCCCAAAGCGCTTTAATAATAATAATAATGCATTGGTTTTATATAGCGCTTTTTTGGACACTCAAAGACGCTTTACATGTGTCATTATTCATTCCCTCCATACACGGTGGTGATACACTGCTACTGTAGCCACAGCTGCCCTGGGGCACACTGACAGAAGCGAGGCAACCAGTCTGTGCCATTGGCCCCTCTGACCACCACCAACCATTCACACACACACACCAGACTCATTCTAGGCAATGGAGGTTAAGTGTCTTTCCTAAGGACACAACAGCAGTTTGTCACTTTACAGCCGCAGCCGCCCCACTGTGGCATCAGGTGTTCCCAGAGGTTAAGTGTCTTGCCAAGGACACAACGACAGCTGACAGTGGGAGTCGATGGTGAAAGTCTTGAGGTGGGCTCGAACCCATGACCTTCTGGCTCAAAGGCCAATGCTCTACCAACTGAGCTACTGTCGCCGGCTTTGCAATGTTCAGAGTTCAGATGTTATTCCAATCATTCCACACACGGTGATGACTGAAGCGAGACGCCAAACACACTGGCGCATCAAAGCTCCAACCAACAGCATCTATTCCCTCACTCATTACATTCATACCTATTGTGCATGTTTTTAGTCGTGGGGAAACCGGAGCACCCGGAGGAAACCTACGCAGACACGGGGAGAACATCTAAACTCCATGCAGAAAGGCCCTGTTCCGCCCAAATATCTTACTTACTTACTTCACCAAATGTTACTATTACATGAGTAGCACTATTAAGCCACACATAATGTATTTATTTAGATACCCCAGCTTTAAAGGTGTACATTTTAGGACTTGAGTGTTAGATCCTCGTAAAAAGTAATCGTTTGAAGTTTTCAATCCGTGACACAGACCCCAACACTACTGACCTTGTGAAACAGACAGAGGCAGGCTGCGCTCTGATTTGCTCCACTGTGTTCCCAGCAGGACACTGTAGTCACACTGGTACAGAGCCACTGGAGCGTCCTGGACCGGCACTGAGAAAAGGGCCTGGTTTTGGGTCATGTCTGCCTGATGAAAGCCCACAGGATGAGCCTGGTCCAGCAGATACAGAGAGAAGGCCGCGCCGGGGTACGCAGACGAGCCACGGCACAGCAAGTACCACACGCCCGACTGCTGCTGGAAGACCAGGCTGGGGGTGGGCAGCAGGTCTGAGAGACACACACATTTCAAATACAGTTATAATTCTATAGTGCGCATGCTTCTTAGGATTTTCTGGAGTGCACATGAGTACTTTTTTAGACACTTCCTGAGCACTTATTATCTAATGCAAATAAAGTGATGCGTTGTCGGAAGAAAGAACCGTTTTAACTTTTATCTTGAATGACATGCATGCGTGCCTGTGACTTGCACGGTGGGTTTGTCTGTCTGAATAGCTTCCTTAACATCCCTGAATTGTACACACACTCTGGCTCGTTCACACTCTGGTTGTTCTGTTTTATTTTAACTGGATCTTTTGTGATTCACTTGCGGAGAAAATGCTTTATTTGTGGATGTAAAACCACCCAAAAAGGGAAAAAATGTCCACTAGTTACTTGAATCCATTTACATCTTTTGAAACAGGGCTGTGGAGCATTTTTTCCCAAGTGAACCAGACTTTGTCCAGTTAAAGTGAACCAGACAACAAATGTGAATAGGCCCTTAGTTTGACCTTCAGACCCAAGTGAAACAAGCTCTTTTTATACTACTTTTGTTGAATATTATACTTTATGCTCATAAAAGTCTGTTTCAGATATCACAGGCAAGTGGTGCTTTCTTTGATGTTGCTCCTCTTGGTTTTGGAATTATGTGTTTGTCTTTTTTAAATGACTTTTGAGTAGCAAATTAAAATATCTTGAAAACTTTTCTCCTCTGCACCAATAGGAGAAACAGCAAAGAGGTATAAAATGAGGAGGCAGCATTTCAGATCCTTGCAGCCAGGATATGGAGGTTGTGAGACAGGCCTCAACCCTGACTGTTCAAAACTAGGTTGAAGACACATCTGTTTAGCAGTGCTTACAACTGATTCTATTTTGCAGTATTTATTGCTTTTATCTCCCTTTTTAAAACGCATACTTTTATGGTGAAATGATTGTATATTTCATTCACTTTATGTATTTTGATCTGTGTTGTGTTTTTATATTGCTCTTGTGAAATACTTTGAATTGCCTTGCACAAGAATTCTACTACTTGGGCGGCACGGTGGCTGAGTGGATAGCACTCTCGCCTCTCAGCAAGAAGGTCCTGGGTTCGAATCCTGGTTGGACCAGGGCCTTTCTGAGTGGAGTTTGCATGTTCTCCCTGTGTCTGCGTAGGTTTCCTCTGGGTGCTCCGGTTTCCCCTACCACAAAAAATATGTACAATAGGTCTGGCATGTGCCTCCTGTACTGGTGACCCCACTCCCAAAAATAACAATTGTAAACCGCTTTGAGACTCCGATGTGCAGTGAAAACGCGGTATATAAATAAAGATGACTTACTTACTTACTACTATACAAATGATTGATTGATTGATAGCTGATATATTTGTTATGGTATTACGCACCGGTGACAGTGACTTGCACCATATTACTGACAGTTGAATTTTGCAGCTCTCCTCCTCTGTTGACTTGGTACAAACAGGTATAACGACCCTGCTCTGCACCTGTCACTGGCCCCACACTGAAAACTCCCGGCTGGGGCTCGGGGCTCGACGAGAAGCTGGACTGAGCTTGTGGTGCGACTGATGTTAAACCTTTGGAGTCCACAGCTGCTCCTCTCAGCAGCAGGAAGGACAACGGGCTGTTGTATGGATTTGCTTGGTATTGAGGCAGAGGAGGCGGAAGAGAGCAACGGAACGAAAGCATTGCTCCGCGTTTTACCAGTCCATTAAAGGGCTCCACTGAGAGGACTGGAGGGTCTGGTGAAGGCTGAAGAGGTCTGATTGGACCAGCATCTGAAAATGGACAAAAGATATTATAGTGCTATAGTATATACAGATTTTTAATTCATTGACTGTCATTGACGTATCTGTCTACTGGGGATTTCTGTCAAACTTGCCCGTATGCGTCTGGGGATTACAGGAAAACAAAACTACCTAGAAACTGACATTTTTTAGTCTAGTCTTTCACAATCTGGTTACATACTTCACATCAGTGAAATTGTTAAAAACAGCTGGCAGTCAATGAGAAAACTCAAACAAGAGGACCACTCTCACTCAGCCTTTCAGCCAACAGCGTCAAATAGTGACACACACAGCAATACATATGCAAATAATAAGATTCAAGATTCAAGAATGTATTTGCTGTAGAGTTGTGTACAGTGTTCATCAGACCCCACAGCTGAAAATAGCATGTTTTCTAAAAGGATATAGTGATGTAGAGGTGTGACAAAATTATGTTAGGACAAAGAATCCAGCTTGATCTTAGATTCTGACATTTTAAACAATATACTATACTCTTTTTTCATGACCGTCATATTTTTGTCAATACTGGGAACCAAATAAACCGCAGTAACCGTCCATAAATCACATGCTGCTTGTCGCTGTATTTGAAGTCGACTGAGTGCAGATGTGTGGGTGTGTGGTTTCCATATGAAGAGCAGGATGTAGCTACCGCAGCACACACCCAGAGCTGAGGACAATACGAGACCACTGGGAGCACCTGCATCTTACATTATTGTGTGTTTTTAAGACACTGGAGAAGCCGGATGATGCTGTTTGTTATTTTACATGTTCTGCCTCTGCAAATCTTTAGTTTAGACAAGGAAGTCATTTTTGCTTCTTCCCCTATGTGAATTGTGATAAGATCTCATTGTCTATATTAAGACTGGGTGATATGACCTCATTTTTTTAATCAAATAACGTTTAGACTTATTAAAGGGACAGTATGTAATATTTTCATTTAAAACTACATCTACATCTCATATGGGTCCCCAGATAATGGGTCAACATGAACAAGTCATATTTTACCTTTTCTGAAAATAAGTTGGAAGTGGTATTCTTATTTAAAATAGAACTGACATAATATTTATGTTTACAGTTTCCAAGCAAATCATCCAATCAGAGAGCAGAATGAGGCTCTCATTTGGGTTGCCAATGTTTGAGGGTTAATTCAGCTGGTTTGCGCTCTTTCTAAAATGTTAAAACAACATTCAGCAAAACAAAATTCAGTATATACAGAAATAAGACTGTGCATTTACAACGCTCTGTTCATTTTTTCAAACACATATAACACTGTGTATGGAGTGAAAGAATAATGCCATGCCAATAAAACTGATGCATTAATATAATTATTGTCATACAGTAGTTCAGTAATTGTTTCCTCAATATATACACCATAAACATAGTAAAGGCATTTTGATTTGCAGTGTGCATCTCATTTAAAAAGACCCAAACTATTATAAATCAGTGCTCATCTTGTTCATACCTTGTTGCATGTCCAGCTGCAGATATGGGCTGAACGTGCTGTATCCCTCCACAGTTTTATACAAACAACAGTACAGCTCATGTTGAGAGTGGTCTGACAGTCTGACAGTGAAGAGCACCTCTTCAGCACCAAGCGGCACATCCCGGGACTCCACCTAAGACACAATAACCGTGATCTATAAACTTATGGCCATGATTTTATGTTTGGATAAGCCTTACCTTTTCTCTCACTCGGTACAAAACAAACTGAAATCCTTTGTGACCGGCGGCGGTTCGACACACCAGGACGGCTGAGGCAGTGGATCTGGAGTGCAGCTGAAGTGTTGGGATGAGGGGAGAAGTTGTGGACGCAGAATGTGGTACTGAAATGAAAGCAAAGATTACACACAAACATTCAAACGTCAGACAACCTATGAGCTTCTGATTAATTATTGAAATTCATGGACGAGTAAGAGATTGAACCTCCTTATGAGAATAAATATTTAATTTAAATGTTCGGGCTGCATGCTCTGTAAAGCAAAGCAGGCTGTAAACAACAAGTGAACGCAAGTCAGAGTGCACTTGTTGCCAATTGAAGCACTAAAGCTGGGGTACCTAACTCATCCTCACTCTCAAAACAAACTGGTTCAATCACAAGATTTTTTGCCTCTGTTGTCGCTTTAGTTCAGCTTACCAAGCCAGAAAATGGAAAGAGGTTCTGACTTGTCTTGCTCAACCAAAAGCGTCAAAATGTGAAAAAGTCACAGGGCTTGGTCTTACAAATCCAGAGAGTGTCACAGCTCTTTCTAATGGGACAAATAACATGGATTATTAATGATACAAAACACACACTGAAGTTATTTTTTCTCTTGCATAATTATGGATCATTAGCTAATTGCTGCATAATCTCTAATGATGTCCACCAGTTACCATTCAGTGCTGCCTTACCCCAAAGTGATGAAAAAAAGTGTAAAATCCAAAGCTTTGTCTCTATGGACCCAAACCGGTCTCTATGCATCCTTGCCCTAAATAATAAACACACACACACTATAGGGAAGCACTCTTCAAATGATTTCTTGTTCTCCTTTTCTCAATCACGCTTTCTTCCTCCACCCCTGCACCATATGACATATCCTCTGAACAGTGGGGGAAGTTGCAGCAAGTAAACAGGCTTCCTTTTTGGGGTTGATAGGATGTGTGGTATTGTATCAATAAATATAAAGGTTTTTTTTACTGCCCCGGGGTCCTGCCTGTGTCAGGGAGGGCAACAATGTTTTTAGACTAACAGGGAACCATAATGAAAACTTCTACTCATTTATTTAATCATATCTTACTAACTAGTCATTGATTTAGGAGATTTCTTTAAAAGGTATAGGGCCAAAAGGAACTCCTCTACGTATATGCAATATGGAATGTACAATTTATAAATACCGCACTTCAAGCTGCAATGGACTGAATGTACGGTATCCATCCACAGTTTTATACAAACAACAGTACAAGAGTTTATCTTTAAAACAAAACATCCATAGAATGGCACAGTCAAAGTTTAGAGATCTACAAGCTGCTGTTCACAACGCTCTCCATCTAATCTAAATAAGTATTTGACTTGATGAAAATATAACCTTTAAAAAACAATATATATTAATAATAAACATTATATTTTATAAGATTATGGAGATAATACTATAGATACACTTTGTCACTGATGGTTTTATCACAGGGTTCAAAACTGAAAACGTAGAATGGGCCTGAAGGTCGTAGGTTCGAGCCCACCACAACACCTCCTTCACGACTCCCACTGATGACTGCTGCCGCCGTTGTGTCCTTGGGCAAGACACTTAACCCCACTTTGCCTGAAGCCCCCGCTGAAAGATCAAGGCTCCTGTGGACTCACCACCTGCAGGACGATTATTGAGAGGCTGGTGCCATGTGTACTGGGTGCAGCTCTGACTGCCACCCAGTACAGAGGGTGTACTCTGTACCCTAATCCAGAAATGGATTAAGGGGAAGAAAATAAACGAATGAATGAATGAAGGACTTACTGTAAAATAACTTCCTGATGATCTGATGTTTGCCCCATTGGAACTCTGACATAAGATCACAGGGCAATTTGTATTTTTACATATTTTTTTCTAAACCTTTTTTCAAAGCCATTTTTACATTTTAATTATTTGGTTTTAGAGTTTTAGAAACATATCTTTAAGTTAAATTAATATTGTGCTTATGTATGTTGTTGTGGTGTTGGAACAGATTATCCAAAAGAAAATCTGGAACTTTTAAGTTGTATTTCTTAATATAAATAAATATATCTGCCAATTTATGTTTGTCTTTCATAAATAAACAAACATCGTGTTCGTAAAATGAGAAAATGGGGAAATACATTCATGTTTTTCAATCTTATGAATAGTTTTTCAAGGCCCTGCATATAATTGATACAAAACACAACTAATATGTTTACATGAAGTTTCCTTTTGTTTTTGGAGGTATCTTTTAGATAATGCTTGAATTATACGTCAGGTTCAGAAAGTGCTTAATGAGAGTTTTTCCTACCCCTGGTCCCAATCATAACATGGCCCATGGAACATGCTCAGCCATGATGATGATGATGATGATGATGATGATGATGATGATGAAGCGCCGTTTCCGGGTCTCAGGCACAGCATCCTCGTGGGGCTGAGCGCGGGAAACAGCACCTGTAGGTGTGGTGCATTAGTGCAGATGTAGATCAATGGCTGCACATGAGAGACCATAGACTGCATGGACAGGCCTCCAACTCTGAGGGCCAGCAGCCTGCGGACATTACTGTCCCTGAAACAAGTGTTCGACCTCCTGGAGCCGCTGGAGGGCTGCGTCCGGCCACAGCACGTAGCTACACTGGCCTCTCGGTTTGGATCCATCCCTCAGGAGCAGGTCAGGACCACAGACTGTACATGTTCAGGACCACAGACTGGACCACAGACTGGACCACAGACTGGACCACAGACTGGACCACAGACTGGACCACAGACTGGACCACAGACTGGACCACAGACTGGACCACAGACTGGACCACAGACTGGACCACAGACTGGACCACAGACTGGACCACAGACAGGACCACAGACTGCACATGTTCAGGACTTAAGTTCTGTGTATGGAGCCATCGTACTAACTGTACCCATTACATGTTTCATTATCTTGTATAATAATATAGCCTATAGACTATTACGTCAATAAAACGTTATCTTTAAACATGGTAGTTGTGGTCCGGCTCATACGCACTGACATATTTGTGGAGCTGCAGCTATCTAGTATTTTATTAATCGAGCATTTTTTTTCGCTTATCCCGATCGATTAATAGAATTTTGCTTATTTATAAATATAAAATATCAAATGATAAACCACTTGATTATATAAATTATATTTCTTGCACTAGACTGTATTTTATACCTTCTTCTTTATTATATTATATAAACATATATTTAGATTCATATTGAAGCTTTTGCAGCTAGCGCAAAATATAGCAGCTACTTATAGTATAGTTTGTGTGCTCCCTGTGTCTTCTCACTATTATAATATGTGCACTGCGACATTGACATTTACCCACTCTATCTTATTTATCCACTAGATGTCAGTGTTATAGGCAAGTCTGAGCTAGAGCGAAGGCTTCGATACATTTGAAACAGTCTGGCAAGGAAAGCCTCAATATGTGACCGGTATGGATCTATTTGGTTACAGGGCTTCATTTTAATCACTACTATTGTGGATGAACTAAAACTTCCTTCAGCTAAACACAGATGAAACTGAAATGATTGTCTTTGGTCCCCAGAAACAAAGTAACATCAGCAGCTTTTTACCACCTAAAAAACATTTCCAGGATCAAAATATAGTGTCTAAAGCAGAATTGGTGACTATTATCCATTCATGTCTCCAGTACGTTAGACTACTGCAATGGCCTGCTCACAGGTCTCTCCAAACGATCTGTAAGACGGCTGCAGTTTATTCTCCTGCAGCTTGAGTCCTGACAATAACCAAGAAGTACGATCACGTCAGTCCAGTCCTCAGGTCTCTGCACTGGCTTCCTGTGGCTCAGAAAATGGACTTTAAAACAGCTCTGCTTGTGTACAAGTCTCTCCATGGCCTTGCATAAAAGTACATGTTAGTGCCATATCACCGGCTTGAACACTGAGGAGCACAGGGATGGAACTCCTGCTAGTGTCCAGAGTCAGGACTAAGCATGGGGAGGCTGCATTTCAGATTCATGCAGCTAGAATCTGGAACCTGAAAATGTGAGATGGGCTTCTTCTCTGACAATGTTCAAATCCACGTTAAAAACAGTTCTGTTTAGCTGTGCATACAACTGAGGAGTTTTATCTTCAATATTTTCAATACTGTGATAATTTATTTGTTACTGTCTCGATCTTGTTTCGTTCAGCACTTTACACTTTGCCTTGTGTATGAATTGTGTTATACAAATAAACCTGCCTTGCCTAGGGTTAGGGTGTTGATGCTTCTTAATTCTCCAGTTTGGACAATTTATGGGTCTACTGTCCAAAACACAAAGTGTTTAAAGACCGGCGCTGTGTAGTGACTTAAACATGGAGATAGGCGTGACTACGTCCGTTAATACAGTCTATGTGTGCAGCAGATAAAGAATCTGTGCGAAACGTGATCTTTGACTGCGATTTATTAAACAAGGCAAACTACACAGACTCGAGGCAGCGGAAATTAAGCTAATATTTGTAATTTAGTTACTCTCGTTTCAGCTCTACATATCACATTTGAATCTAGCCCTATCGTGTATGTATGCATATCAATTAAAAAGTGATTCAAATGTTAAATCAACTTAATTAAACCTCAATTGTTCACATTTAGACCACATTTAGATAATTTCTCTCTAGTGGATCTGTGTGTGATTACTTGAATACATTACACCAGCTCTACACAATCTTTTGATTAAAGGAATTGTTAACTACATTTGTAATTGAACTAGTTTTTTGACACAGACCAACGCCTAATTAACAAATACAGATTTATTTACACTAGATCTATATTCACCATATAGAGCCAAGAGGACTAGAACAAGGAAAGTCCACTTGGCTCAACATCTGATTCGATGGCTGGCTTGTGTCAGGGATACAAATATGGATCAAAGGCAGAGAAATTATTTCCCAATGGTAGGACAATAAAGTGCCTGCGTGTTATATGTATTCCAGCAGCCGGCCTTGTCTCTGATTGGCTCCCTTGTGTCAATAGCTCATCAGTGGGAACAAAGCAGAGGCACTGATTAGCCCCTGTGGGACGCCTGGCTGACCTGGGAAATGGGATCATGTGCAAAGAAACTGACATTATGTTACACACTTTTTAGATGTTACTCTCTTTGTTCTCATTCCCAAAGTCTAATTCATGTACTGTATACAGAAATTCACGCAGCACTTTTTGAAACACTTCTGTACATAAATGTATAGATTTTAAAGTGGTTAAACTGCAGTACTTTTTAAACATTTTCCACAGTGCTGTACAAATTCCTTCCTCCCCCATTTCTCTTCCTCATGCCAAAGCCATATCAACGATAACACATTTTTCTACTGTAGCTAAAATGGCATCACTCGACTGACACAGATTAATGTTTGAGGCCATTTGAATCATTTAGTTCTCCTTGACGCAGTGCTATCCTATCCTTTCTACCTAAAGCACCCTGGGTTGTCCCTGTGCACCCATTTGCTAAAATTAGCGTTGCTGAAGCTGAGTGCTACGGGACTAGATCGTGCATTATTCAGTGTTTCTGTAGAAAGGGAGCTCTTAAGACATTCCCTGGCCATAGGTACGTGCACTCTAATAATCATATTTTGAAACCAACAGTTGTGCATGCATTGAGTGAGTGTAAGACTTACTCAATGCAGGTACAATAGTGACATAAGGAACATGGTTTATTGTTTTCTCTGATACTAAATATTTACTAGTTTTGGTCCCCTTATCTGTTCACATATAGCAGGCAAACAATTTCATCATGTCTCTATGTATGGCAAAACATGTCGTATGCTGACGTGTGGATAACATATTTCCTAATGTTATGCTTCTTCTCTCAAAACTCTAGGCAAAGAAGTTTGTTGAATGTTTTGACCCCAACTCTCAAGGAAGGATCAGTTTCTTAAACTTCTGTTTTGGTGTACTTGCCATTAAGGGTATGTTCACAAAAAGATGTTGATAAAAATAAATAATACTACAGTAATGTTCTGATGTAGCAGCCAGTGGTCACATGATGCTGTTTATCAATTATTTTGCAGGTTTCCAAAGGTTGCCCCACAGGTCAAATGACATCACATACTGGCAACGTCACCCTTCTCCCAAGTATCAGGTATAATTAATTGTTTTGCTGAGTACTTGGATCTATTTCAAGAAATGTATGGAATTATATTTTTTAAATACTTATATTATTATTATCATCATTCTAAGTTGAATTGGCCTATCCTTTTTGAGACACCCCCAAACATGATCAGATCATACACATGTGTTTACACATCTCTCCACCAGATGGCGGTGTAGACTTCTCTTTGTGCTCTTCTGACATTGATGACGGACTGAGCCAGTTCAGTTTTTGTCAGATGAGAATTATATATTCTTTAAATTGACCATTTCAATTGAAAAATTATATATATTGATACTATACTATTATGCTTATACCATGAAAATGCCGGGTCAGGACTCCTAGTGGATTTCTATCTGTATTGACAGCTCCTTTTGTTCACTGTTTGTGGGAAGAATGCAGAAAGCTAACAGCCCTTTTTTTTTCATTTAAGTCTAGCATGCCACAAAATAGAGATAATAGTCTGATGTCGGTCTGAAATGAATCTTATCCCTAGCAGCAGCATTTGTTCTTTTTCTGCCTGGGAGAAAGCATTTTTCTGACGACAGAGTCTCATGAGGAATGTGATATCTCTGGACACCTTTCATGGTATCATCTGTAACCCTGTCCTGGGGCTCTGTGTACACCTGTCTGCATTCTTACACGCTCAGTTTCCTTAAGCAATCATGGCTGCGTCTTTTCAAAAACATATCAATCCCTTTTCATTTGACATTATTAATTTTATTATTCATAACCTTTACTTTTCTTCTTTTGCTACTGTTCATTGTTGAATGGGAGAAGTGCTCTTAAAATATTCACACAGTGTGAAATGTAATCTGACTGCTACCTACTGTGCCTTTAACATGCAACACAAAACACTTCTCTTTTCTTGGGTACTTCCCTGTGAACTGTGCTGTTTGTGGCTTGTTCTAGTTTCCGAAAGTCTATTCAGATTATTGTTTTCTACACTCCGGCAGGTAGGTGCTGAGGTCGTAAGTAGTTGGTGGCATATATACTTTGAAGTGTTAGCAATCTGTTGTTAATTTATTAAACACAAGTCTACGTCCATGTCCATTTTATAGTAAAATTATCTAGTAAACTTACAGTATCTTGTAAACTAACATATCACCATCTTAACCAAATGTATTATTGTTTTTATACTTTATTTTTGTATAAGTTTCATTAGTTTAAAGTTAACTTTGCAACAATACCTCTAGTCCAGTGGTTCCCCACTTTTTTCCAGCCTGTGTAGCCCCTCACCAGCATTGACGGGTACAGGTGTTGTAAATTTTGTCAATTGGGTATTTTGGCCGATTGACTGCTTTTATTTGACTTCACTAGATTGCAACAACATGTGTACATGCTTGGACTGAACCAAAACTTGTCATTGCAATATTGATGAGAACAATTATTAAGAATTTAGCGTGTGTGTAGCATGTCACAGTAGCCCCCATTACCCCTCTAACGCCTGAAAATATCATTCCAAGAACCATACCCCCTGGAAACTGTTAGGGGTCCACGTTAAACTGGTTTTGGGCAACACTGCTGTAGTCTACGTGCTGGAAATTGGGCTAAAATTTTACCAACGCAAGATGTGACAAAGCCCTGATGTGTGGGGGGGGGGGTGGGGGGGGGGGGTCGGGAAGGGGCGGGGGGCGGGGCGGGGAGTAGGGTGGGGGTGGGGGGGGAGGGGGGGGGGGGGGGGGGGAGGGGGTGGGGGGGGGGGGGGGTGGGGGGGGGGGGGTACGTTTGGTAAGGACTTGCTGTGTAGATAAGAAAAAACATGTCTTACTCAAACACCTTCCCTTTAAGCCATTTCAGAGATTTTAAAACGTAGTCGGTGATCTGCGTGTTTTGCATAACTCAAGTTGTATTCATGACCTGTACCAAAGCGGTTATTTCAGGGCATCTGTTTGAGAGTAAAAATCTTGTGGGGTTAAGTGCAGTTGCTAAGGAGAGACGAGACAAGGAGTGAAAGTGCCTCATTGTTGTGCCGCTTTTTCTCTAGGCCCACTGCTTATGTTTATAGCTTTGGCCTCACGTTATAGACTGTGTGCTGGAGCAGGTGCACGGGTGAAGAGAGATTTGTCTTCCATGGATGTGCAAGGATCACTGGCCTAGATAAAACTGTACAAGTAAAATGCAGGAACGCTATTCATGAGGGTTTTACAAAGCGGTTCACTTGAAAGTTTATATTTAAGCTAGATGATGAATTATTATCTTTCTGCTTTTACTCGCGTTATTTATTCACCTTTCTTTAGTGCTGAAACATTAGGCCTTCTGTAGAATAGTTTTCCATCCGTTTTGCTTAGTTTTTTGCATGACATTTACTGGCTCCTGCAAACTCAATGCTGTTGTGCACTTACTTTTAAATAGCTTATGGATCTTTGATAACACTTGAAGCAACTGTGGTTAAAGTTGAACTTGTCTCTATAACAATGCACAAGGCAGTCCCTCCAGATCAATCAAGAGCAGACGAGGCTTTTTATGATTTGTGCCAATGTGCATACGAACAGAAAATATTGTCACTTGAGATATAAATGACTCATGCTTAAGATATAGATACTGTAGTAACAATGTTGGCAACAAAGACATATAGTGTTTCAGATACTGTTTAGCAGTATTACAGCTATAACAGGGGTCCACAGTACATATTATATGTAGGTTAGGTTCCACAATCTCACTGGGAAATATAATGATATAGATGTTGCCTTTAGAAATCTACTATAGAGGCTTTTTTGGTTAACTTGTGTTCTTCCGATTTAATACTATTATTATTAAGTCAAAATGGTGGACACAAAATACTAGTCCAGTGAATCCGATGAGTGATTGGAAGTGAGGGCATGAAGTCAAAGATGGCTTGTTGATTATCACACTTGTCTCACGGACCTGTTTTTAGGTCGTTAAATTCAATATCTAATCTAGCAGCTGTAAAATCAATCCGCTTCATATCATTACTCAAGACTGGCATCTGGTAATCAAGATGAATTAACTATTCATGGTAAAGTTGTGAAGAAACTGTCCTTTGTTGTGCTGTTAAAAGGAGCTCTACCCGTTTCTGCAAGGTTTGAATGTTTAGCACCGCCCCCAACATTCACAGGTCTCTCATTTCACCTACGCTCTCATCCCACCGAGCCATCTAGTTGTATTTGCGATCTATATGCAAACATTAGCATGAGCGCAACTTCTTGTAAGCTGTTCAACAATCACTGATGAAATGGTACAAAATCAACGCACTGCTAACAAAATACATAACTGAAAGATTACTGCTAGTTTCGCGTCTGAATGTGGTCCGAGCATAGATAGTCCGAGGCGGTCCCGCTCCTGCAGGTCTCTCCCATAGACAAGTCTCTCCAGAGGATACGATGTATCTGTAACATATCTATATGTTCACCCGGGCTTGTTTTCTTCTTTGATAATTTTTATGCTTTAGTTCCCTCTTCTCTTCCTCGCTATTGTGTCATTTGGGCTGTTTTGCTGTGTCTGCAGTTACAGCAAGAGCAGTTATAGCCAATTCTGCTAACATGCTACTGTGTTTAGCAGCGCTGTAGAGGCGAGAGGACGCAGCCTCGTTCTGTGAGTGGAGGAGAGCGAGAGTCACGCTAAGTCTCTACTCAGCACTTTTGTACGGCCTGAATTAATACACAACTGAATCAATGAGCTAAAGTTTTCAATTAAATTACGAATTATAATATAAGTTGTACGTAGTGATAAGCATTTTTATGAACTCTTAAAAAAAATTGGGCATCGCCTCTTTAAATGGCTTTTGAAAGATGTGTATTATAACATTTAAGGAAAAGATTGAATTTCTCTCGTACAAAACTAAGAGTAGCACCATTTGGCTGTTGGTGTGAGTGACAGGAGCCAGGCGCAGAGGTGACATCCATCAGGTCATGTTCCCAAATCACTCAGTGGGCTTTTTCCTTCTGTTCAAGTGGAACAACTGAGTTTCTGTGTTTTATTGTAGGTGGTACTATAGGGCGGGGTGATATGGATTAAAAAAAAAAAAATCTAATATACAATATTTATTTCAATATTATTACAGTATAAATAACCCCCCAAAACTACTGACTTTTTTTAAAAAATTGAACCTCAAAAGAGGAAGTCAGATCAAGTTGTAACAAAGTGATAAGTAATAATTTAACTGTAAAAAAATAAAGAAATGAAACGTATTGCTTCTCTTCATTCAAGAATAGAACCACTCAACACAAGACAGTGCATTAAGATCAAACATATACATTCTTTAAATTGTGAACAGGAAATGTGAGTGACGTAAGCCTCGAGGAGCGGGGGTGAGAACCTCTTTAAGAGTTAACATTGTGAAAAGTGAATGAAGAGCTGTATATATCCTACGAGTCCCTGACTCAAAAACATATGGATTTAATCAGGACTGAGAAAAGTTGCAACACATTTGCTTCATCCTAGCCTGGTCATACCACACCAAAGTACAAATTTCGTACTAAGGTCTGGAGGTGCTCCATTGAGCTCCGTTTACAGATGGGAGGGGTTGACTCCTTTTGCAGATTGAAACGATTGGTATGGAGGACCGTGGCTGCCAAAACAATGAATATATACAGAAATAAATAAATTTAAAAAAGATAAAATTTGCAAAGAAATGCATGCAATTATGAGAATAGTGCATTTATTTCTGTATTTCTGTATTTATATATTTATTTATTTCTCTTTCTGTATTTATTTTTGTATTTATTGATTTATTTCTCTATTTCTGTATTTATTTCCGTATTTCTCTTAATGATATGCACATCATGGGGTGGGCCGGGATGCCTCTGCTGTAAGCTCATTGGTTAATCTTTTTCCTTGCTCCACAGCTTGTCCAGCATAGGTGGTCATGTTGAGATCACTGTGTTCTCGCTCTACAATCAGTGGTGTAGCCTACGCGATACTCAGGTATATGCCGTATAACCACGAGAAGCCACTACAAATTGGGAAAAGATAGGCTACGTATCACTCATTTGCGCAGTGTTACTTTTGCGCTTTCTGCCCGATTAAAG